ACTTTCAACTTTTTCCATTTATTCTTTGTCGTTGCGCTTCGCTGAGCGTAAAATTCTAGCTTATCAATGTTTCAAGTCGATCAAATTGTTTGAACACAGACCTTGTTTAACAGTTACATAATGTACCACTGTAAACGTAACACAATAATAAATTTGTACTTAATAAAAATAAAATATGTAATATTTATTATAGTAGAAATAACAAACATTTTTTATAGAATAAGGGTGACAAATGAGCACAGAGTCCACTTGATGGTAAGTGGATGCTTTGACCCCATAGACATCTATATTTATCCCTGATTAATAATCAAAATTCAGCTGCGTTGTTTTCCCCTGAGGACTAAGATGGAATACCCTGTTTCCAGGAAAAAGGGTATCTGGTTCTCTACACTCTCTATACAAAACACAGCAGTAATACGCTTTTGCTTGCTTTTGGCTGATCGTTAAGTGGCGGTCAGCCAGCACAGAGTCTAGTGGTGATGGGACGGATCTTACCTAATTAATTTTTACCATCTTTGATTTAATGGATTTTCGCAAAGTAATGCCTGATTCTATTAATTATCGTAATATTAAACTTCTTTAACCACTCTATTTTATACTGCACACAAACATGCATACAAGTCAGGCTAGTATAAGCGTGGAAATAAATCAAATAGATTGTTAAGACCGTCATATTCAGCTCTTTTGTGTAATTTTCGTATTGTACTGTCCCTACAAGAAATTGCTAGATCGTGCGGAAACAGGCCGATGAACTTCAAACTTTTGTTTTGAAGAGAGCTAATAAATACTGAACAATAATTTGGTGGAAGTTACATTTTTAAATTTTATTGTTACGCTCTTCGAGATTCCATTGGGAGTTAGTAGGAGGAGTATGTATTATATTTAAGAGCCAAACTATTTTTTATTTCTTATTTTTTATAGCATTGACAGCAAGTGACAAACGAGCACACAGTCCACCTGATGGTAAGGGGATGCTGTGGCACATAAACATCTACATTTATACTCAATTAAGAATCAAAATGCAAATGCGTTGTCACCCCTGAGACTAAGATCGAATACCTCGAGTCCTGTAAAAAGGGGTTTCCGGTTCTCTACACTCACCATACGAAACACAGCATTAAGAATCAAAATGCAAATGCGTTGCCACCCCTGAGACTAAGATGGAATGCCTCGAGTCCTTTAAAAAGGGGTTTCCGGTTCTCTACACTCACCATACGAAACACAGCAGCATTACGCTGCTATTTTATGCTGGTATTCTGTGAGAGCGTAGTTCATCCCCAGTCGCGACAACCCATTCGTGCTACAACTATAATATAGCTGCAGCGTAGCTCCCACAATTGCCTTACCACTACACTAAAGGCCCCTTTTTCATTCGTTAGATAACAGATATCCATCGAATAAATAATAACCTTAATAAATGTTGTTATTACAGCCTATTAAAGTCGACTACTAAATATAGACCCTCCTGTTATTGTGTGTGACTGAATGCAAAAGTGAAAAAATAGAACAATTTTTATTCACAAAACTGTAATCTTAATTTGTTTTGTGTGACGTTTTATCATACTGAGCATAGAAAAAAGTCCTAAGAAAGATAAACCACCGCATAACTGTTAAAAATAAAGAAAAAAAACTTAGTAATAGATTTATGCAATAAAAAAAAATAAATGTTAGTGACAAATAATAGAAGACTCGTTTCATGCATTATTTATTGTACGTGCTTGTGTTTAAAGTATCACGTGCAGAAAATTGGTTGGAATTTGTCACGGTTTAATGTCAGAGAAACGTTTTCTTCTTACTAATAATATTTTTACCATCATAACATTTTATTGTTGGATTAATTTTATCACTAGTGAACTGCCCCGGATTTGCCTGGATAGAATGTATTATTGTACTCTTATTTAGATTTAAAATAAGCAAAGATCATTTATCTTAACAATATTTAGTTAGTTTTAAGTCTCAAAGTATTTAGAGTAAAATATCCTAGATCACTCCTGGTTTTTTATTATATTTACTGGTATTTCTGGTACTCTCTTTCTATTCGTAAAGTTTCATTACAATTGGGTCAGCCATTCCGAAGATTAACCTGGACAGCAACATTCAAAATAGATATAAAGGTCTTAATGGCATGCAAATAATCGCCTGAACTTAACAGAAGCTACTTATTCCAATATTATATACACTTCAATTTTTTTTAATGGCATAAGTGTGACATATGAACACACAGTCCACCTGATATTAGTGGATGTTGTGGCCCATAGATATCTATATTTATCTTCGATAAAGAATCAAAACTTTATGATATATTTTGGTAATTTTATACTTTCGCGGTCCCCTTGTTTTCTGGCTCTAGAAAATCAATAAATTCTCCGATTTTGATCTTGTTTTTTAATCTTCGTTTTTATGGTGGATTTATGAAAAAAAAATATGGAAAATATCTCACCCGAAGATTTCGTATAGTTTTATGACTTTAAATGTGATCATAAACACACTTCTTTGAATATAATCGTTCATAACTTTTTTGTAAAGCATTAAACGATGTTTGTATTTTTTTGTTAATCTACACCAAAAAGGCACATTAAAAAAAAACAATTTTAAAAAAAGATCACATAATAATGTTATTTATTATTATTTATTGATTTTTTTTTTAGCAAAGTGAGCTCGGGACTTAGGGCATCCCGATTTGGACGGGTTAGGTTAGAAGGAGATAGCGGGGTCGCATGAGCAAGCGAAGCGAGCGAATAGATCCTGCCATCTCCTTCGTGGTTATTTTTTTATAAGCCACTCAGAAGTTCTTCTTCCTTTCCGGCTTCTCTCGACTGCGCTACATTGAGTGGCGTATTCCTTCCCTCCCCCAATTCTCTCCCATACAAGGAGGTCGTGCTATCAACTTTGTATATCTCTATATTATAAATATCCTCTATAATAATGTGGTCAGGATTCTAATAGGGTCGCTGAGGTATTGCAGTGCCTTAGGTATATTTGCTGAAACACATGTTGTTTGGTTTGAAGCCAGGTCGCATGCGGACTTTCACCAATATAATCCTGAACATACTAGCGGACAAATGAAATTTACCAAGGAATGGGGCGTTGGATAAAACTGCCTACTATAAATTGGACCTGACCTCCGTTAATCTTTTATTTTAATTAAATAAGGGTGATAAAAAAGCACACAGTGCATTTGATGACAAGTAGATGCTGTTGCCCAGAGATATCTACATTTATTCTCGTTTTGAATCAAAATGCAGATATTTCGTCACCTCTGAAGACTAAGATGGAATGACTCGTTTCTAGTAAAAACACTATCCAGTTCTCTACACTCGCCATATGAAACACAACACCATTAAGCTTTTATTTGAAGCGGGTATTTTGTGAGAGCATGGTCCATGGTCTAGCCGACCCATTTATGGTACAACATAATACAGCTGCAACGTGACTCTACCACCTATAAAATAAAACAATATTTGCATTCAAAAATTAAAATTATGACATTTTTTTAAATCGCACGCAAGTTGCTCGCCTTAAAGAAGCTTAGAGCAAGCCTGTGAGTTACTAAATCGAATTATATTCGTATGAATTCACACGTAAACCTTGAACAAGAATCAGCAGACTTGCTTGTGTGCTATTGATTTTCAATTAACGCAAACCATAAATAACCGTAAGGGCGTTATTAATTGGAAAATTAATTGACTTATTTGCATAATGGACTGGCAATGATGTACGACACGACGCCAGTTCATATAGGATGCTTTATTGGAAATTCAATGTTTGAAATTATTTAAATTGTAATGCATGAACTATATTCTATCTTCCTGCAGTTGTGACGTAACGTATATAATAATGCATTTCATGTATTAGAAAGTTTACGACAAAAGTCATATCAATCAAATTTTTGTTTGTTGTTTCTATTGCTTTTCACTTTTTTCTTTGGTTTCAAATTAAATCAGCAATCAGTGGTGATAATCGCTTAGTTTTACTGTTGAGTGACGCTGTCATGAGAACACTTTACCACAAAGCAATATAGTATATAACACACTACATAAAATGTATAATAATGTACTTATATTAATCTAATGTAGTGACGGTGTAAGAATATCCGCTATCCCATTCCGTACCCGTGAGTGTCGAAAGAAGCGACAGAAACGACAAACTGAAACAGGAGATGGGCAGCAGCGTCTTCCTGATAACAATTTAAAATTAAAAAAGAGTGTTGCTGCCAATCCGCCTGGAAATCGTGACAATTGTGGCAAAATCCCCCCTATGAGGGAAGCCTATGCTACGTGGGAGAATATATATAAATAATAAATCATGTTAGTTTCATTAGATAATAAAAGATTTACAAGTTTTTACAAAACGCAATATTAAGTTAATATTTTGACTATATTATTTCAATTTCTAAACAATAATTTAATGACAATAGAAAAACTAACACAACCGTACAGCGAATGTTTTTCATTCACGCATTAGTACGTGACGTAGTAGAACAGTGTATTATTAATGGTGTAGCAGTTCGTAGCAGAATCGCTACGTCACTGCAAATTTATTTCAACGCCATATTTTATGAACATCAAACAAAACTTCCTGGTGTTTTTACTGTGCATTTGTGCTTGTGTACGTTTCGTTACCATAATTACAATTGAAAAAAAAGAAAGAAAGAAAAAACATTTATTAACGGTCTAATCACAATAGATACAAAACAAAGCAAGAAATTGGAATTAAACAGAGAATAAAACAATATTTCCCTAAATTAACAAAAATGTAAAAATAATATAAAATGAGTCTGTGTAGCAGCATAAGACCGTGAAATGGACAGGACTCAGTAAAAATCGAGATACAGAAACACGAATTGCTCTGATCCCGACATTGGTTTTCAGTCCGGCCCGCACTCCGACGTAACTCGGACGGCTGCCTCAATGCACATGCTATAATGCGACGCGGAATATATAAAAAAAATATGTGTATTTAAATTTTTATTCACATAAATAGTGGATATCATTAGTCTAATGAAGGTAAGTACAAAATAGAATTAACGTTTTCCTTCTAAATATATCAATTTTATTTATTAAGAATGCGGAATAAACGTTGGCTAAAGAATAAAGGTAAGAAAATGATTCTCAGAAAAAGTAAATTTATTATATAAATATTTAAATAAAATAGTTTTATATATTATATAAAGTGAAAATTAAAATATCTACATAATTTATTGAACTGAGATTACTGACGTGTTGAAAGAACTTACCTACCAGTTTATTTTATAGATCGGTATTAGTTTGTTCCGAAAGTAAGTGTAACCTGTATTTGATTTTAAACCCACTAATTGTTTTCAGGTCACGCAGTGGAGGCGGGAGGTTAGTCCAACATTTAGGGCATTATATTTAAAACTACCTCTGAAAGCGGCCGACCGGTAGAAAGGATATACTAACTTGTAATTGGATGATCTGGTATTATACTGCTTATTTTGATCTTTAGACCAAATCAACTTATTATATAAATATAAAGGTTCTTTATTTTTAATAATTCCAAACAAAAGTGAGGCAAAGTGTAGTCGCCTGCGACAGTCCATTTTTAAAATATTAGCGTTATTAATGAAAGGGGTTACATGTGCACGTGGTGGTACATTGAAACAAAAGCGTGCACAGGCATTCTGTACCCGCTGTATTATTTGCTGTGTTCGAGATAATAGTCGTGGGCCTATGAGAGAATCCGCGTAATTGAATTTTGAAAGCATGATAGACTCGCAGAGATGTATCCGTAAGGTGACACTTAGGTACTCACGAATACGATAAAGTTCTTTCAACCTATAAAAGCAGTTACGTGCAATATCCATTACATGTTTCTCAAAACGAAGTTTGTCGTCCATTATTACCCCCAAATTTCTGACTTCAGAGACTCTCACAATAGGTTCGTTGTTTACAATAATGGCAGGGTGGCTTAGTGTGATCTTTTTTTATTTGATTTGGCGATCCTAGAATAAGGTACTGCGACTTTTTTGGATTGAGAACCAATGCGTTACGCTCTGACCACAAAGATATCCGACCCAAATCCAAGTTCAATTTTGTCACTGCTACTTGAACATCACAAGGCTTAAACGATATATATATATATATATATATATATATATATATATATATATATATATATATATATATATATATTCTGTAAGTCGTCAGCGTACATGTGGTACTTACAATACTCTATATTTTTAATAATGTCTGCACTATATATTAAAAAAGTAAGGAACCTAAAATGGATCCTTGCGGTACTCCTCGGTTCACAGGGCGCCCCCAGAAATAGCTTTACCTTTTCCATTTAATTGTATTTCAACTTGCTGTGACCTATTTTTAAAGTAACTGGCAAACCATTGGGTCGCGTTTCTGCTTAAACCATAAAAATATAATTTTGAAAGAAGTAATGGGATATTGAGGGTTTCAAAGGCACGCGAGAAATCAAGTAATGTTAAAATAGTACCCTCATCACTGGCTTGTGCAGTCAGTATATCATCCACGACCTCTATAAGCGCTGTGGTAGTGCTGTGCTTCTTTCTAAAGCCAGACTGCAGCTCAGGAAGGATGTTATTTGCTTCAAGGTACTTTGTTAGCTGATTACATGCAAGCTTTTCTATTATTTTAGAAAGGCACGGTAGAATACTAATTGGCCTGAGATCCGACATACAAACAAAATTGCTATTCATCATCATTATTACAGCCCTTCACAAGTCCACCGATGAACATATGCCTTCCCCTAAGAAAGCCATAATGCACGGTCCAGACCCACTTGCATTCATCGACTTCCTGCATGTGTTACCAGGTCGTTACCCTACACTTTGCCTACCGGTACGAGGCTGCCACTCGAGAATCTTGCTTCCCAATGAGTTGTCGCTTCTTCGAGCTATATAATCGGCCCATTTCCACTTCAACTTACTAATCCGTTCGACTATGCCAGTTACTCCGAATCTACTGCTGTTTCATTTAAAAAGAGGAAAAAGAGATAGTGTAAAATAAATTGATTTTACACTATTAAATTTTATCATAGTATATGGTGGCGGCGTACGATATATATATATATATTTTTTTTTTATAAAAAATATACGTGTCACGTTGTTTGTCCGCGATGGACTCCTAAACTACTTAACCGATTTTAATAAAATTTGCACATCCTGTGCAGTTCGGTCTACAACTTTTTTTTTTTGCGCATTTATGGATTTTTAATAGGACATGACAAAAGGGTACGTTGAAAAGGGCAGAACAACGTCTGTCTGGTACGCTAGTATATATATATATATATATATATATATATATATATATATATATATATATATATATATATATATATATATATATATCATCCCGTGGGTTTCGTAAGGCCACAGAAAGAAATGAAACAGCATAAAGCATTCGCAGCTTTCTGATAAAAAAATGGTTTTGTAACAAAAGTCACGTGACAGAACTGTAAGTGTTGGTTCTAAGAGGTAATTACAGCTAAAATGTTTACAAATATACGATGCTTCTGCAAAAATTCTATGATGGGTAGTACTTATATATTTCTTTCGAAAGCATGTACAATGTATTTCTCTACTTCATTTGTTTTGTGCCGTGTATAGTTTAAGAGTATTTCCTTAATTATCCATGATATTGATAGGCTTAAACGGATGGCATCCTTGAATTCCTTGGTATATTTGTAGAGCTAACTTGAACACTAACAAAGTTTGATTGTTGCAGTGCAATTTGTTAATTTAAGGGAAACCTGTGGTAATATTACACATAGTTATAAGATAAATAATTTGTAAAGCTTTTGATTTTCTTAATAAAAGCAAAATAAAAAAAAAACAATCTATCTCAAGTGATGAAATCATTGTGTATGTGCTTTGTGACATAATCTACTGCGCCATATCACCTCGCGGGCGTCGCAGGAGGCAACAGAGGGAAACTGAAACACAAAGACCTTGTTGGTGCTTGTGGCTTGCAACCCTCCTATCAAACGTGACAACCACAGCAATTTTTTTCCTATGAGGCAGTTTTTGATAGAGTCCTTTGTTCAGCGGTGGTCTTTTGATAGGCGGTAATTAATGAATAAATTAATTAAAAAAATTACCGCAGTTGTTATAAAATATACTACTCAAAACATAATCGGACCACCTCAATTTATTTCGAGTTAAGTTCGTAATAATTCAAGCGGTTATCGTTATCTAAGGGCAGCATTTAAACATAAAGCTAATATATTTCCTTAACAATGTTTAGAACGATAACGTCATTTTATTTTCGATCAGATATCCAAGAAAATTGAAGTCATGAGAAACCATTTAATATAAATGATTAGTCGCTTTTGTTCTCAGCCTGATTTTACTCGCTGCTACTGAAATTTCTCTAGCCATTTCATTTTATGTTGGTTTAAGGTTTGCCTGCGAAAATTCTAACTAGACCACGGAAATATAGATAATACTTTTTACAGACGAATGTCAGGTGAGATTTTGTAGTGAAAACAGAGTTAGTTATATCGCTCAAGTGATCCGAACTCATGAGAACATCATTTTTGCAAAATTTTGCCAGGTCGTCACTCCATCTAGTGGGGGGTCGCCCTACACTACGCCTACCGGTACGAGGCTGCCACTCGTGAACGGTTCTTCCTCATCGGTTATCGGTTCTTCGAGCTATATGGCCGGCCCATTGCCACTTCAGCTTACTAATCCGGTGGGCTATGTCGGTCACTCTGGTTTTACTGCGGATATCCTCATTTCCGAGTCTATCACGCAGAGAAACTCCGAGCATAGCCCTCTCCATAGCTTGCTGAGCGACCTTGAGCGTCCTTATACGGCCAGCAGTGAAGGACCACGTCTCAGATCCGTAAGTCGTTACTGGCAACATGCACTGGTTGTATAATCTAGTTTTTAGAGATTGAGGTATACCTGACGAGAAGATATGTCGTAATTTCCCGAACGCTGCCCAGACGAGTTGAATCCGTCGATTGACCTCTCGGTCGAAGTTGGACTTACCTAGTCGGACTATCTGTCCCAGGTAAACGTACTTGTCAACAACTTCGAGCATAGTGCTCCCAACAACTACCGGCATAGGTATGACATGGACATTAAACATGATCTTTGTTTTGTCCATGTTCATCTTAAGACCTATCCGTTGGGAGGCACTATTGAGGTCATTAAGCATAGCGATTAAGTCCTCCAGCGATTTTGCCATAAGGACTATATCGTCGGTAAATCGAAGGTGAGTGATGTACTCGCCATTGATGTTAACACCGTATCCTTTCCAGGCCAGTAGCTTGAAAACGTCTTCCAATGCAGCGGTGAAGAGTTTCGGGGATATAACGTCACCCTGCCTTACACCTCTCTGCAGTTGGATAGGTTTCGAGCTCTGGTTCTGTACTCGGATAGCCATCGTAGCCCTGCTGTATAAACACTTCAGCACTTCGATATACCGACAGTCAACTTGGCACCGCTGAAGGGACTGCAGCACTGCCCAAATTTCGACAGAATCAAAGGCTTTCTCATAGTCCACATACACTAGGCAAAGTGGCAGATTGTACTCTTCGGTCTTATGTACAATCTGCCGCAGGGTATGTATGTGGTCTATGGTGGAAGTCGTCGAGTCTACGTGCGAGACGATTCGTAATAACTCTCGAAAACAGCACGTAGACGCGGCTCAGAATGGAAATCGGTCTGTAGTTCTTCAAGAGAGCGTTGTCGCCTTTCTTAAGAACAAAACCAACGCACTTCTGCTCCACACCGCTGGAGTAGTGCCACCATGGAGGACGGAATTGAAGAGCTTCTGAAGGATTTCAAGTACCGGTGTTCCACCCGCTTTCAGAAGCTCCGCTGTAATTCCATCCTCGCTTGGAGCCCTGCCGTTTTTAAGGTGCTGGAGTGCCATTCTAATCTCGCTTAGACTGACGTCCGGGATATCATCGGAATAGTGTCGGATAAGACTTGCTCTTGGATCGTTACTCACACTTACGTGTGGCTCCAACGATGATGTGTACAGCTGCCCACAGAACCTCTCAATCTCACTCAAAATCTCAGGTGTCCCGGAAACGATGCTGCCACACTCAGTCAACAGCTTTGACAGTTGGCTCTTACTGGGAGACAGATCTCTGACAAAGATGGAGTGGTTCAATCGCTTCTTCAAACGGCAGTTAAAGTTGCGTAAGTCTCGCCGCATGCATTTGGAGATCTGTCTGTTCAGTTGCCTGTATGCTGTCAAATCAGTTGACAATTGCAGCCTCATCTCCCGTCTAACAGCCATGAGATTAAGAGTGTGATCTGAGAGCTTTTGTATTCTTCTGCGGCCGGTCTTGCAGAACTTAGCTCCGACCGCATGGACAGTTTCCACGAGATTGTCAT